CAACACCATGTAATAAGTTATCGTTAGACGGTGACGAGCTATTGTCTTTAACAAACTGATTATCGACAGTTTTTGTATTTTCTATGGTTGCAGTTACATCGGACATCTCCTGACGTTCGAGGTCTAGTTCATCATGTAATGTGGTTTGATTTGGTGGCATTTTTATTCGTAATTTCTAATTATTATACGTATGTATGCTATGTATGCTTTGTATGCTGTTATATTATTAAATTATTTTTAATAGCAATTTTTTTTGCAGAAATTAAACGGGTAAAATTAATTGAATAATATTACAGCCAAAGATTAACAGGAAGAAGAATCTGCAAGACAATTTACAAGTTGCAAATTTTCTTAAGTCTATATTGATCGAAGTCTCGGTCTTTTATAATTTTTCTTTCGGATAAAAAGAACAATTGAATTAACCAATGGTATTAGATGATTAGTTGGATAATCGGATTCAAACAATTGACCTGTCTAATTGCTAACACAGAAATAGAATCTATCGGGGATGGATAAACTTTTTCCATTTTCCCGTAGAATAAAATTTTGTTTCTTCGGTAATTTGTTGTACCGATAATGTTTATGCAATATGAATGTATTGCCCAAATTAGTTTGTTAATTATAAGGTAATCTGCCGAACAGGTTTATTCCGTGTCCCTTGATTGTAACCATGAATTTCATACAAATTTATAACTGGTTTATTCCGTGTCCCTTGATTGACACCATGAATTTTATACCAAACTAACTAGTGAACTATAGTAGACGGATCATAATTCAAATTGAGTAAACTCGAATTTGATGTGGTTTAACCCGTAAAATTATTGATCTACCAAGCTAACTATTTCGTATGTACGTACGTCATTGATCACCGGAATTTTCTAAATTATGTATGATCAACAACTATGAAGTATGTACGTACTTACGTACGTGCAGTTTTTTTTTTTTGACTCATAATTTGAAGAGAGCTAATCATTAATTTAGCCGAAGATTTTTCATAACAAAAAATTATGATTCGTACTTGGATAAATTATATGTCTCGAAATAACTCCCGTGAGCGTTATTTCGAATAAATACGGGTAAATTTTGATCAATTCGGAACACTACTTATAGGTTTCGTAGTTTTCCCTTCCGAGCACTCATTTAAGGTTGATCATACTATTATGTAAATACGTATACTGTATAATTGCTATAAAAAATACAACTTCTTCAACATTCGAAATTGGAATTCTAATTTGTCTAGTTTGGAGCAATTCAATTTGTGCTGGTATGTAAATATTCAGACAGAAATATCGTATGTCGGATACCTTTAAAAGTGACGTTATACTGGGAACGGAGTCGCACGGAAGTGAAACGAAGTGGATGGTTTTCAAGCATGCTCGACCACGATTTCTTGCATTTGATTGATCAATGTGATCAGCGTGATTGGTAGATCTTTCCTTTTTCTTTTTATTCGTATTTGGTTGGTCTGCGTGATCGTAAATCTTTCCTTTTACGGGGGACGTCTAAAGCGGAGGCACTCATATTTCTTAATAATGTTATCGATTAACTTTTGGGTTAGGGCCATCCTATATTAGGGTCAGGATAGGTTTTAGATAGTTAAATATAAGCAAAATTGCCTTCCCGGCATTTTTGATTAACCTACCCGAGGTAGGTTTAGACGGCCGTTTTTTGTATTTTTCGGGTTTTTGATTTTTATTTTTTGTTTTGCTTCGCCGGCGATCATCAAAATTATTTAATTTGATTTGCTGTTAATCACATGATTTGCCTCCGCTTTAGACGTCCCCCTTTTACGGGCATTTCGGGCTTAATCTGAACGACTCGAAACTGATATCGTTATAGTAAATTTATTAGATGTGTCATGACTCATATACTAAATTTGTAAGTTTCGGGTCGTTCAAATCAAACCCGTTAGAAGCAATATTCCTGAGTTTCGTTTCAATAATGAAATAATAATTAATATCGTTATACTGATATAGTATATTCAGTTTTAGATGACACTGAATTTTATTTGCTTGCTATATTATTTGGCGGAAAAACCGTAAACTGTAATGCATTGTATCGCATAATATCATATTGCTGAAACGTCGCAATAGAAGATAGAGACGAATCATAATGAACGACTTGGAAGTTAGTTAATAATTTAAGATTGAGAAAGAGTATTATCTTAAAAACACCTATACCATTAAAACTTTACGTTGGGGTTTCAATGCACTATGTAAATCAAATCTAGATGTGGTCCTATATGAAAATCAATTAATAAAAATATTGCGGAAACAGTATAATTTCGATAAAAATTTGTTACTAAAAAAAAAAAAAAAAAGCTCTGTGTTATACTAAAATACACTATTCACTGAACTCATATGTGAAATTTCTAAGTAAATTAAGTAGATTAATATGTAGAATATCGAGGTGATGCAATTTGAAGTACGAAATGTCAATAAATTTTTGAGTTTAAAATGAGGAGACTATGAAGATCACCATTTGACATTTTCAAACCATTGAGATTTTTAATTTTAATTAAGATCTTGACCTTATTTACACGTCATTTCTTGGCGCAGATCCCTAAACTACGAATCAGATTTCATGAATTAGGTGTAACGTAACACGATCAAGAAATTTCAAAACAAACGTTCGTTTTGTCAAAAATCAAAATCTGCATAACAAACCACCTTTAATGCTCTAACAAAAAGTTTTTCTTATGTGATTTTACTATATACTCGCCTAATCTCTAACCCTATTCTAAACACTAACCCTAACATGATCTGCATTAAAAATCTGTATTAAGATTAATTTGAGTCATTTTCCAATCAGTGAAAATTGAAAAAATGACATACGTCGTATGAGCGGAATCTTTTGATTTTGATGATAATATTTAATCCAACCTATGTGATATTGCGTGATCACCGGTAAAATCGAATTGTTCTATTATATTTGATTGGTCAATTGCTTTTCTTAGTTGTGAATTGCTTATAAACCGCTTACGTATAAAATTGCATAATAATGTTTGTATTTAGTTGGTCAATTGCTTTTCTTAATGGCAAATTGCTTATGACACTGATTATGAAGCCGCATAATATTTTATAAATATTTTATAGATCATTACGTATATCACTTAATTTTAATAGTTACAACATTCCCATCAAAATTTTGCCCATATGGTCAATTAATAATTGATAGAATTTAGAAATGACGCATAGCAAATATAAGATTAAAAAATCAACAGAAAGAGTAGTGGTGTATATTGTAGAGACACACAATTCCGCAAGAAAATTATTCAGAGCTATTCATTCAGCCCAATTTATAAAGAAGATGGCTCATTTTTGGAGGTCAGAAGATACGACACTTGAGTCTTAACCGCCGAAAATTAAAGTCCCTTAATGATTTAGGAAATGGTAGTTAGTAATTACTTAATTGCTCAATTAATTGAAAATGATCTAATAAAGTAACTAGCGTTGTAAACTAGAATCATAAAACAAAATTTTGTTACAGTAATTGGGCTGGAGCAGAGGGAGGCGGAGTGGAAGACCCAATAGCCATACTCTATGGAATTTTGCCAATGTCCGGCTTCCGCCCCTGTGATTGTAATAAATTTCGACAATCCCCTGCAGAGCCTTTAAACAACAATCGGCTCAATAAAATCTATTGGTTGATTATTTTCACAAAAAATCGAACTGATCGAAAGTTAGCATTACCACAAATCAAGGGCACAGTCACATAACTTTTCGATAATCCAAATCTAACTTAACCATACTGCTCTAATTATAAATTGTGATTTGTTTTTTTGTTTGGCATAGCTTATTTGTATTTCTTATTGTATTTCATATTTTTATTTTCTATAATAACAAATTAAATCTCATGCAAAATAAATCAGATAAATAAATAACCATTTATTTTTGTAGTATGTAAAATTTAAGAACATTTTCTTTACAAGTGTATAAAATCTATGTGTATAATGAATGTGCTCAGTGCACTTTTTTAAAAAACTTAGCAAAATTTGGGCTGAATAATGCACCAAAATTGTCAATAAAAATACAAAATATAGTATATACCAGTACGATCACATGAAATGTGGAGGTTGGTGTGCTATATTTTTTCCTATTTTAGAAAGTGTTATGGTTATCGTGTTTTTGCTTATTTAGGTATTATTATGATAATCATGTATTTGTAAGCGTCGATTCTTGTTAAGGTAATACTGTAATAATGGTTTAATTAGATCGTCATAATTAGTACGATCGTCATAATTATCGTCATAATTAATGTGACGGCTGATGCTGAAGTTTGGCTGATGTTGAAGCTAAAAAATCTGATTGGTTAGGGTTAGGGTGA